AAGTTTGGAAAATAACATGGTTTGGAACTTTCTTCCCCAGTAATGAGATCAAAAATTGGGAAGATGCCACCGTTTATCTGACTCACAAAAATGTTTGATCCTGTCCCTCCTGTTTCTCCTGTTTCTCCTTTCCCTCTTGTCCCTCTAGTCGCTAAGATTAATCTGCAGATTAACAAGAACAGGAAATTAAGTATTGATCTCGATATCCACAATTCTAAAGTTTTCAGCTCCGAAATTAAAAGACGATTTTTAAGTGGTTACTTTTTGGGACTCCCTCTACCTTGATTAAATCAAGAAAAAAATATTTTTAACTTTTTGTAATTATCTTGAAACAAACTTTAGTTAATGTAATATTTGTGGGGTTTTTCTTCAGTAATTTACAGACACGTTTTAGCGTTATATTCTTTATTATAGCTTTTGATAAAAATATAGACTATTATTTGCATTGATAACAAAATTGCAAAGTTAAATACATATTACATATTTACACATAATATTCTTAATTTTTAACACGAATAAAATATGAACAACGAATTGATGTGACTAAGAAGATAACTGTTAATAATAGAAAATTGTACATTTTAAACATAAGATATTAATCAACATGACAAATTACCAAATATATATTCATTGATCATTGATAAGAAGATCTTATTACATTTGCACAGCCCTTACCCCGACCGCTAAAAATGTTGCATTTTTCTTTCGACGCTTTTTGTAATATCATCTTTAAATGCAGTTACAATTGTATTTCATAGATGTCTCTCCTTACATCGAACACATGAAGGAAGAAAGCTTCGCTTGATCTCTGAATAATCACTTAAATAAAAACATAAATATAGCGACAGTAAAAAAATACCAAATCGCTAAACAAATGAGAATAATATTTTTTTTGTTTTATACAGTCGTCGCGGTATCTATCAATACAGTGAAGACGACTTTCTATTTTGATTTAAGAATTTCACGTAATCCCAGATAACCTAAGGCGAGTTTGTTGTACATCATGACACAGGATTACCAACAAACAATGAGACTAGGATTCCCGATTCACACTGGTTCCCTGAAAAGCTTTGTCTGATCGAGCATGATTTAGAAATTAATGTTTGACGTTTTTAATCTGTACCTAGGGCTGGGCAATGGAATTGTCCGTTAACGAAAGGCAAAAACCGATAATTTTAAAATTGTTATTGAAAAAAATTACTGTTGAAAACGAAAACGCAACGGACGGGTTCTTAAAAACGGCTTGTGCCGTAAATCTAATTTATTTTTATGGAAATTTTGGAGTTATGCAAACTGTTGACGCCGTCAATACTATAAACAACCGTTAACAATTTGATGATTTCTCAACAACTAATGCTAGAAATTGCAAAAAAGAGCCGTTAAGGCCGTTCTTAAAATTGAGATAGTTACTGACGGTAACTTTAAAAAAGGAAACTACCGTCAACGAAACGAACGGAACGAAAAAAAACCTGAAATTTTTATTTCTTAACTGTTCGAACTCACCGTTGACGAAACGGCTGGAAAAAGTTGGAACGTGCCCAGACCTAATCTACCGAACCAAAGTAACTTGCACATTTTTACTGCAGAAATAAAGGTTGAAATCGTCAGAATTAAACACTTTCACAAGCAGAACAACGCAATATTTTTTGATCACATCAAGTTTTTTAAGGGAGCCATTGAAAATCGGAATTTACCGTCTTTGCGTGGAGAAGTCATTTGAATTTACGCTACAGTCTCTTTCAGGACTAAATATTGCCTATTATTGAATACCTTGAATAGTCTTAAAAAAAAAATTAAGTTGATAGCTGCTGTTTACCATAAATTAGACTTAATAAACTTCGTACAGACGCGGCTCTGAAGACTCGTCCTTTGTGGGTATCTGTATTAAAATATAGAAAATATTTCACCTTGTCAATTGTTTGAGTTTATCCATGAGTGTTGTAGGTATATCTAAACCAAGAGATAATCCATTATCCAACAACCTTTCACTAAACCAGTCATCATACATTTTTTTACAATTGATTTAAAGGGACTGTAAGCGTAATTTCAATTAACCCTCCAAGCAAAGATATCAATGCACAATTTACAACGGTACGCTTGAAAATTTAATTTGATTGAAAATCTGGAAGATAGCGTCGTCTTTCCGACTAGAAAATGTGTTTAATTCAGATAGTCTCTGCATTGTTTCTTATAAGCAAGAAATGCCCAACTTGTAAGTCACTTTTGCAGAAAACAATTTTAATAAACAAAAAAATGTATCAGACAAAGCTTTCAATTGAGTGCCGTTGTGAATCAATCATTGTCATTGTTGCATGGAGGGTCACTTGAACATAAGCTTACAGTCCCTTTAAAGAATATTTGTGTACGAATTCACCTTAACTTGATATTTACAATATGAAAATAAAACAGAGTAAATGATTATTGATTTATCATAATTTTTCAAATCTGTCGGCTCTTAATAATTCGATTCAAACATCCTGCCATATCCATAGTGTTTATGATTTGCTTTTATCGTTACTTACGGGAAACGTATTATTTTGAAGAATGTCAGTATGACAAATGAAAGCATGACAAACGTATTATAATACGGTATAATATGGTACGCGACATGTGTAACTATGGCTAATACGGTCCGTGACACGTGTAATTATGTCTAATACGGTACGCAACATGTGTAATTATGGCTAATACGGTACATGCCACGTGTAATTAAGGCTAATACGGTACGTGACAATTATGACAAATACGGTATACGACACGTTTGATTATGGCTAATACGGTACGTGACACGTATAATTATGAAAAATGCTATAATGGTAAAAACTTAATTGAGTCAGAGAAAGCTAGAAAAAAATCTGTGGTTTTATTTTGAAAGTTGGGTTTTATCAAATTTTCTTTAACATAAACAATGATTAAAAATGGAAATAGTACACAGATCGTTTAAAATTTATCATTTTTTCTGATTATTTAATATCCATGAATAAAGTGAATACTGATTATCAAATAGTTTCTAAATATGATAATTTCCTAATATTTTCCAGAGCAGTAGACAACAACGTTAGAGGGACCTAGGACAACAGAACTTTATTCTATTATTATTATTTTTAATCTTTATTCTATTCTATTCTACTTTATTCTATTCTATTCTATTCTATTCTATTATATTCTATTCTATTCTATTCTATTATATTCTATTCTATTCTATTCTATTCTATTCTATTTTATTCTATTATATTCTATTCTATTCTATTCTATTCTATTCTATTCTAATAATGATTTCTACCTTTCCACCGATAATAATATTGTTTTGTTCTGTTCTATCTAGATATTCAGCTCTCCATCTGGTATATTGGATTTCAGAAATGTTTCAGATCTTAAGATTATTTCTAGTGTCCGGCATTGCCAGGTGAATTTAAAAACAGAAAACGACCTACTGTATTATGTATAGAAGTAGGACTATTCCACCTATTCTATGTTACCAAAGGGGGTAAATGTAACATATTTGTAACATATTTCTAATTAAATGTTACGGTTTGGCTGTCTACATATCCATAGAACAGAGATTAGAATACAAGGAAAATAAAACCATTCCTCGGTATGAATTTGTGATACGCAGTACATCACAATGATAATCCCTGGACATATCCGTTACAATTTCTTCTGAATCTAATATCTTTGTCAAGCTTATCTAATCTTATCTTCATGTAACAAATATTAGATTTGATTTGATGCATATACAATTATACAATATGCATATCTTGAGAAAAAATCTTAATTTTTTGTTGCCAGTGTCATGTTTTTTTGACATAATTATTTTGAAAAAAAATTTTATTACATTTTTGCTAAAAATTAAAGCATATAATATAATACCGTTCGGCGTTCAACGTAAATTTGATATTTTGTTGTAAATTTGTAAATTTTGTTAATTAGTCCCACTGGTTTACAATAATAAAATAAGTACGTTATAGAAGCTTTTGCAAATTTTCAGAGTTAATTCGCATTTTATTGTTTAATTTAAAACAACTATTGAATATTTATTTATTTTAAAGGAATTTAAGCGTAGTATTTACTCCCGCCGTTTTCCCGTGTTTGGTCTCAAATTATTATTTTATCTATTTTCCCCTTTCAAAGTGGACCCACTCAACTTGAATCTCAAAACCAAATTAAGAACATTCCACTGGTTTTTCCGAGTTCTCCAATCAAAAGTTGCGGCAAACCGGTCAAGGGGTTCATGAGTTATGATCGGACAGAGATTACGTCTTTATAAGTATACACACTAACATAGATAACATGCAACCCATTTCTTTACAAAATAAATCTTCTTTCCAAAAAAAGAAACAACATTTGTTATTCTTTTTAAAAAAGATAATAAAATCATAAAACCAGTCTTGAATTAAAGAATTAATAAAAAATTATATATCTGATTTCTTAAAAGGGAAAAATAAATTTTTCGAGGAAATTGGAACTGAAAGTATTTTTAATATTCTTGTAGTTTTAATAATGGTAAGATCAAAAACTTAATTAAATACCAATTATTAAAGTACACCACTTTTAAATTTTTGCGATATCTTAAATAAAAAAATTGTCTCTAAAAATCCTTCCTGTAAGAGTTATTAAGCGCTAGGGGATACGGGTCCGGAAGTAGGGAAAGGAAGTATGGGGAACCGGAACTAGAATCACCTGAAAAAAAGAAAGATGAGCTTGTAATCAAATTTATAAAGTATTGACAAAAAACGTTTTGTCAAAATTTTCAAAAATGTTATGTTCTAAAAACATTGCTTATCAAATTTTATCTATCTTTTATATACTTACGGAAAACAGGGTGATCATACAAATCTACCAAAATCAAGAATTCAACTTTAACTTGTTAGTTCTCTTTTTCTTGTAAGTTCTAATGCAATTTATAATGTTTATAATGTTAAAAGTCTTTTCATTTTTAATGTCTAAAAAACATTATTCGTCAAATTTTTATCTATCTTATATATACTCGCAAAAAACAATCTTCATTTTAAAATAGGTTTTGCAAATTTGCCAAAATTAAGGGTTCGACTTTTGGTTGTAATGCAATTTATAAAGTATTTACAAGCAACAGTTTGGAAAAAGTTGTTCCAAATTTAAACAGCAGTAAAGTCAAATTTTTATCTATATTTTATATACTTATATTAACCCTATCCCTGCTGGGGTACTTGAAAACCAGGATATGCTGGGGGGGGGGGTCAATTTGACCCCCCCCCTCTAAATCCCATGTTTTATGTCCAAATATGACAAATGATGCATCAATAGAAAGCTTTTGTGCTCTACTTTTAGAATCTGCAAAAAAATTAGCAAATTCGCAAAAATTGAATTTTTTATCGCAAAATCCAGTTATATAGTAAAAATGTTTGCAAAAAAAAATTTGTCCAAAAAATGAAAAATTATACATTTTTGAAAAGCCCTTGATCATGCCATTTCAAATATGCAAAAAATTTTGAAAATTTTTAAATAACCTGATTTTTAATCAAGAAAAACTAAAAATGTGCAAATTTCCTTTGACAGGTTGTTTGCAAACAATTTGCAATTTTTTTTCGCAAAACTTGTGCAATCCGTTTCCTTATGTCATAGGCTTTCCAAAAAGCTAAATTTTATCAAAATCTGACAAGTGAAAGTGGGTCAAAACAAAGATTTAGTTTGTTACAGGCAAAAGCAGTAATTCAAGCAGTATGCCTGAGGACTCAGGCAGTTAGTATTAAAGTATTTTAGGCCTAAAGGGAGGGCTTTGGGTATGTAGGAAAAGTCAGAAAATTTCAAAAGCCTCAGACCAATACTTTTTGAGTTATGTAAAAAAACTACAGGGGCCCCCCAGCAGGAATAGGGTTAATAGGGGGCCCCCCAGCAGGAATAGGGTTAAGAAGCAAAACAATTGAGTATTCGCCACAAACTCAAGTTTAATAATCCGAAAATCTTTGCTGCCTGATGGTGTACACCTTGAACATCTCAAACTTAGATTATTCAGAATTCATAGTTTTAAATATCTAATGTATACGACTAAAGTTTGCAAAAGTAGGGATTATAAAATCAGGGTTTGTGACAAATATTCAACATAGCATTAACAAGTTCTATGATTCAATAAAATAGTGTACTATACTAGCTGAAGGGCCCGGCGTTGCCCGTAGAAATTTTTTTTAATGATGAGAAAAAAATATTCGAATTTTTTAGCCTAAAACACCACCCGGCCACCCATGAGTGTCCACAAATAATTTCAGCCCATTCGGTTCAGACGTTTGGCCGGCTATAGGCAACATATATAAATACGAATGTCTTGTTTTATTATATAGATATAGACTTGAAAAGAACTTAGTAGTGAAAAGCCAAGATTGAGTGGAATGAACTGTCTTATAGTATTCACAAGTTGAGAACCCTTAGTTGGGTTCACATCAACTCCTGATACTATCATCATTTACAGTGGTCATTGATCATCATGGCCATCTCTTATCTTCAGGGCGGAATGATGTCCGCCCCCATGGCCTGACTGATCTGTATCAAATGAATTTGTCCACAACAATGCATATTCAATATAACCACCTTACATAGCCGGTCTGTCCCTTAACGTGTGCGAGTTTCTTAACAATTATTGTTCTTATCTAATTCCACTAAAGTACACAGATTTGGAGAATTAAATGAAGTAGAGAGGTAGCTGAACTACCTACCACCAGTTTAAATCTTGATTCACCAATTCAAAGCTTCAAAAATTTAATTTTGAATCGGTGATTCAAGATTTGAACCGGTGATAGATAGCTTAGCGACCTAGCTCACCTGGGATCGAAGCTTGATAAAATACCTAGAAATCTCCACTTGAAGGAGGACTTTGCAGGAATAATGACAGGGGTTAACCAGCGCATGTTTGAATATCCGTTCAGTTGTAGCTCGCTGGTCAGCCTGATAGGTCGACCTGGTATAAATATATATACTATCAGATCATAAAAAATAGAAAATATTATGAAGTAAGGAGCATTGT